TCTACCTCCAAACTATACATCAAAATCACTGTATCTGTTCATCTTCACTGCCACCACAAGCCAGCTAAACCACCTGGGTTTACCTCTCTCCTAGATTGCTAATAGCCTCTAATCTGATCTCTATATTTTCTCTTTTAACCCCTATAATCCAATCTCCACGAGCAGCCAGAGGGCTCATTTTAAAAATTAAATAACATCACAGGATGAATGCCTTTGCTGGTAATCCTTTACAAGCTTTCCAATGCATTAAGAATAAAAGCCAAAATTCATACAATGAACTACAAGGGCTGTGACCTACCCTTGATGACCCCTCGGTTCTCATCTCCTCCCTTCTTTTTTTTTGATCATCCTGCTCTATTCACAGTGAGTTCCTTCTTGTTCCTCCAACTAACCACTCTTTTCTGCTTTGGAGCTACGCTTTCCCCTCTGACTAAGTCTTCTTACCCAAGCTCTTTGCATGACTGGTCCCTTATCAACTGTCACATTTCAGCTCAGTTGTCACCTTTTTAGGGACCTCCCTGATAACATTCATCTAGTATAGCTACTATACTATATCTAGATAGTCCACCAGACCTTGTATCAGGAAACAAAATCTGTCAGCGGAGATAGACTTGGTTAATACTCATTAAGTAGTATCACAAGAAAGTAAATTAGTAAACTACTAATTTAGTAAATTAGTAAATGATGTAACTTTTGAAGCAGAAGACTACCATACACTATCAGGGCTAGAAGAGCTAACCTCCCATCTGACACTTGAATCCCCTGGGCAATGTCTGTGTGACATGTACTTGACACCACCATTGAAGGGACCGCTCTAGCTGCTGGACAGCTTTGGAACTGGATCTGAGCTGCAGTGTTTCGTTGGAGCTACTACACTTTTGTGCCCTCCGAGGAAACAAAACAAACAGAAACTCCCTTTTAGAGGACAGTCTTTCTGGTTTCCCAGGGCAGCTCTTACACCCCCAAATTCCCAACTTTTCCTGTACGCTTGTTCTTCCATTCCAATTCCCTCCAGGGCACCCCCCACCCCCTGGAAGTGCTTCCATTGGTCTTCTCTCTTACCTCCCAGGACCCACAATGCCTCCAGCAGTCCAGGTGGGATTAAGCTGACGGGACCAACTGAGCACCGCTCCTTTTCCCAGAGCCTCTACCTTCTATGAACACGGCCCACGACCCTCCATCGGTTCCACAGACAACCACCTCCCTGCCCCTCCGGTACGCCTCATCTCCCCGTCTCGGGCCTAGCACAAGGCCTGACGTAGCATAGTTTCTCTAAGATCTCTGGTAGAATCAAACAATACATAACTGGTCCTGGGTAACTTTCAGACTCCTATTCCTTGTGCGAATTCGGAAGCCGAAATCCAGTCCGCGTCCTGGGCCCACCTTCCAGCCCGCCCCGCCCAGCGTCGTCCCACCTCGCCCCACGGCCTCGCCTCTCACTCTATCCCGACCCAAGTCTCGCCCCTCCCTTTAATCGCTCCCCACAACCCGGTAACCTCTCTAGAGACTGTAATCTTTGACAGTAATCAAAGATTTCCCCTATGTTGTCCCAATAGGGGAAACCTTTAATTTAGGCTGTCAGGAAAATAACAACTTCGTGGCCATGGCCACGCCCCCTTTACCCACGTTTCCGGACAAACCGGAAGGGATTGTGTAGCCTCTAGTTCGTAGACCCGGAACTAGACGTACCTCACGGAAGCTGGCTTTGGCCCTGCGGCAGCTGCCGTCGCCACGGAGAAACTGTTGGAGCTGGCAGCCTAGGAATGGTGAGACCTCGCGATTCGCATCTGCGGGTTCTGAGCGGAGTTGGGGGTCAAATGGAATTTCTCAGAGTGCCTCCGGGGACGACCTCCCCCCCTCAGGGTTTGGGGCCCCGCCCCGGTAGCGCCCCGAAATTCTGCGCATGCGTGGGCCGGACCGGGCCAGAATCTGGTCCGAGATGTTACGCATGCGCAAGGTGTCATGCTGAATGTGGCGTGAGATTTGCACAGAGAGTTGGTCTCCCCTCCCCAGGCATGAGGGGCTTAAACGAAGGCTGCGGGATCATCGGGTTTCACTCGGTGCTTTGCTTTTGAGTTGCGGTCTTTCTTCTTCATCACCACTGCTATCCCGAACCCCTGAAACTAATCTCCCACCTTGGGTGTGCACTCGAGCGAGAGGGGAGGGAAAGTCAAGGAAGGAAGGGGGCTCAGACCCAGCCTCAAGTCTGCCCTTGGAATCGGGGCCCTTCTCCCTCTCCCCAGGCGTCAAGATTTCCAGTTGTATTCTGTGGGGCGGCGCGACGAATACACCTGGGGAAAGGGTCGGACCGCAACGCGAAGAGCCGCCCTGGGCAAGGGGGCGGTACCCAAAAGTGGCGCGCCCCCTAAAGTCGCTAGTATCTGAGTTCTCAGGAGTTTAGGAGCACCCCCTCCTCCCCTGGCGGTTTATATTCGGGCAGTTCTCAAACCGTGTATTTTAGTTTGCATGAGGTACCACCCACTAAATCTTCAGTTAAAGATGCAAATGGAAAAAAAAGAGAGATGGGCTAGTTGGAATTCTGCCCTCTTCCCTTCTTTGGCCTCAGGCACTGCCAGCCGCTCAGAAGAAGGAAAGTGGTGCTGCTGTTGAGCTTAGTGGTCAGATGACGAAAAGAAAAAGTGAGCCAAGAATCCCTTGTTTTCTGCTAGTTTATATCAAGGCCCTTAACCTAGGGGCTATGAATATAATTAGTGGAGTTCGTGAATCCTTAAATAGTATATGTTTGTACATTTATCTGGAGCCCATAGCTTTTATCGTATTCTCGAAGATGTCAGTGACCTCCAAAAGCCTATTACTGGTTTATTAGGGTCATATTGACAGAACAGAGGCTTGTGTCTTCTCCTTGTGTCTTCTTCAGCTTATGGGACCCTCGGGTCCCTATTGCAGTATAGGAGGTGAGGCTGGTCAGTTGGAATCCTGAGCTTCAGGGAGCCTCATTTCTCCTTTGCAGAATCTCCTCTCAGCCTCTAAGCTCATCTGGTCAGAATCCTTGGATGAGCCTGTGGGACCCTTCCTCCTAGCCCTGTGGTTTGGAGCCAGTGGCTTTGGGACTGTAAGAGGATGGACAAAGGTAGTATATGAGGCCGGGCCAGCTCCCCAAACATTTGGGCACCAAGCATCTGCTGATTCTACCCCACACCTGGCACATGTGTCTTTGGCTGGGCATTGCCACCTCCCCCTGGGCCAGCACCACCCACGTACCTCTCGGCAGAGGCCACAATTGACTGACTTGCTGTTGAGCTGCTGCTCTTTGGCATGGCTGCATTTTGATGGCAGAGGGAGCAGTTATGCCCAGAGCCCGGTGTGTCAGCATCACCAGTCTGACCTGAGCACCATGTGCTGCACATGACAGGTGGCACCTGGAGAACTGCCCAGCATAGAAGGTCTGGGCCAGGTCTGAGCCCAGATGGAATCTGGATGGCCACGGAACTCCCACTTTAAAACCTCAAGTGTCAAGGAAGAAAGGGAGGGGCCGGGAAGGCTGGCAGAGTAAGGGGGCTGCTGAGAATGGGACCCATGAGCAGAAGCTCAGGGCTCTGCTAGGCAATTAGGAGGCCCGAGTTTACCACTTCTTTTTTTCTAGATTCTCAAGGGTTGCTAGATTCATCCCTGATGGCATCAGGCACTGCCAGCCGCTCAGAAGATGAGGAGTCGCTGGCAGGGCAGAAGCGGGCCTCCTCACAGGCCTTGGGTACCATTCCTAAACGGAGAAGCTCTTCCAGGTAATAAGGGTTTGCATGGCCAGGGACTGGGCAGGGGCATTAGGTGCTGCATGCCTTCACCCCTGTTGAGAATGACTACTTGAGACCCTTAGGGGCCTAAGGGTTGGTGGGGCCTAAGGGTTGGCAGAGCCTTGTTCATTTTCTGTCCTTACTAAATCCTTGACTGAGAGCAAAGGAGGGGGATCTTAGGTCTTTAACTTGAAGTCTTTGTGGTTAAATATCATGTTATCTTAGAGGGATGGGGCATAATATTTCCATGCCCCATCTACAGAGCCAGAGCAGTTACCACCCTGCTGGGAACCTGCTCTGTTCTGGATTCCAGATATGTGTGAGTGGGTGCTGGGGAGGGGGCAAGGTTTGCTCACTGAGTAGGACTCTACACAGGTTCATCAAGAGGAAGAAGTTTGATGATGAACTGGTAGAGAGCAGCTTGGCTAAGTCCTCTACCCGAGCAAAGGGGGCCAGTGGGGTGGAACCAGGGCGCTGTTCTGGGAGTGAACCTTCCTCCAGTGAGAAGAAGAAGGTGAGAGATTGGGAGATGGAAGGGGTGGGGGAGGATGGGGTACAG